GAAATGTATCCAATAACAGCAATGTTATGAGAAGCTGCTTTTTTTTGTTCATCTCAGATGGTTGAAATTTTGATTTCTAACGATGCTCAAAATATTTCTAACAGTCATACGGTTGCCATTTGGTTTTATTGAAACAGTGCAAAAAGAGATGGTTTAGTAGGATAAACAAAGAAGGTTCAGAGAGCTATTGATTCAAAACAGATTCTTTTACCAGCTTAGCATGTATTCCGTTTTCAAATGCAAAACAGGGTCAAGGAAGTTAATCCCTCAATAGGAATATTATTGTGGAGAGCAAAGTGGATTTTAAGCACCAGAAAAAAATATTGAAAAATGAAAGTAAGGTGGGTAATAGCAGTCTGAATAGAGATATTTGGTTTGCATTTATCTCATTCAGGGGCTCTGTCCAAAAGTATCATATATTACGTAATTTTTTCAAATTACAACTCTCAACTAACAGCAATGAAAAAGATCATGACATCTCATTCCTCCAATATAGAAATGTCCTAATATAAAAGTTTAAAACCTATAACACCAAAAAAAGAAGGCATATTAGCATATATCCTGGACATTCACTTGTACAAGAGGAAAAATAATTTTAATAAATTTAGATTGTTTTTCATAAATGTCATTATCAGCAGCCCAAGATACATCTGTATCCTCCCTCTCAAACTCTTTCTCTCCCCATATATATATATATATATGGAGATACAACATTTATATAACATACCATATATATGGATATATTATAACATGTATATATATGTTATATATATATATATAACATGTATATATATAACATATATATATATATGGAGAGAGAGAGAATTTAAATTGCCTTGGGATGGAGATTACTTCTTTCCACGAAGTCCACCTTTGTGGAATGGCTGCTTGAATTGCAGCTGCTGATTTAACATATGTGTTTGATGTAGAACTGAGCCATGAGAAATGATGGTTTATACCTTTCCAGCTGGCTTAAGAGAATGGGGACAGCGTTCAGTTTTCTGTATGATGCTACACTCATTGACACAGGAAGTACATAGGATCAATCCAGTGGTATATCTTGACTTCCCTGGTGGCTGTGTCATCTCTACTGTCTTAAGCAGACTTAAAAATGACCCATTCTTAAGATATATATGTCAGCCAGTGTCTTGCCCTACTGTTTCTACTGTATTTTTACATCTGAATCTAATACCAAGAAGACAGCACTTCCTCCAAGACAGTTTATTTAAAGAAGTTTTATTTCCAGAGGATTTTTTGAGAAAACACTAAAACCGGAGGGAAATGGTAAACTCAGGTTTGAGAAATCACAGAGGGCACTCAAAGAGGTCGTCAGTTTACTTTTCTATAAACGTTCAGGTCGGTTCCTATTTCGGTTACAATTCTATTTTGGAGCCTTGATGGCTGCAAAAACCTCTCAAGTCTCATTCTTGTGGTTTCCATCACCACAAGAGTGCTGTGAAAGGAATTACTGTCCATGTATCCCAGCTGACTAGTATTTACTCAAGATGCAGCACAGAATTTCCATCAAATTGTCCATGGGCCACCTCAAAAATCATGTGTTGAGTGGAAACTGAAAAATTCTTTACCCTTCATCTTTCTTTCTTAGTGATCATTTAGGAATTATTGGTAAAATGCTAATGCTACTTATATTTTTATATTTATCAAGGGAAAAATGTTACAAATCCCAGGAAGTTAACTAATTGCTCTTTTCTAAAATCAATACATATTAAGAAATGGAAAAAAAGGACTGTATATTAAAGTACAAAAATACCAATAAGTAAATGTATCCTGCTGAAATGAAATATAGAGACCGAGGTACATAAATGAAGTTAACTGAAGAGTAAACAAAATTTTAATACAATGCAGTCCAAGGCACAGAAATATATTTTGAATAATAGGTTAATGAAAAGCAATATTAAAGGAATAAGATGGGTTGCTAGAAAAATAGTATGAAATATATTTTTCTATTTGAATATATTTTAGTGTCTGATATTTAGTATTTTTGTGTTTTCATTAAACAAGGGTAAACAAAAATAAATCAAAATCCACAATAATCAAACTGATTTAATGCAGAACACAAAGGAATAACCAAAGAAAAACATTTTACTAGGTTATATTAATTAGTTGACTTTTGAAAAGATTAGTATGGTTAATAGTGCCATACCATTAACCTTTCAACAATTTACATATCTCAATGCATACATAATAGTCTATCTCTACTTTAATGTAAGGGACATGATTTATAAGTTTTCCAAATCTTTATTACAAAATGATCGGATGCCCTCTATCAGACTTAGCAAAAGCTGTGTGTCATCGCTCCTCCTAATTTAGTTGTATAAAACACATAAGCATTTCATTATACCTAGAAAATACGATTAAGCTGCTCTTCGTAGAGATGAAACCTCTGACATCATATTTAGGGTTACCCATAGGGCACTGGTATCATCACTTTACTACACCTGCTCAACTAACTGTATCTGGACTAATTCCTCAGAGGAAGAGAGAAGATGAGAGGAGAGACGTAAAAGATAAGGGAAATGCACTGAAGTGAATTTTGGAAACCATGAATGTAAGAAAATGTCTGCTATCTTACCAAAAGAATGAGTTGATTCAGTCATCAAATCAAATACACTCAGTTCCTGGCTTCAGTGCTTATTATAAAATCCAGGTAATTTGTCAGATAAGTATGCTTATTATCTTCAATTCTCAAATGAATTGAATTCCGAACAGTGCAACACTACAATGGTCAAAGAGGACTAAATGATTTACATCATTAAAGAGAACTAAATTAATTTCATTCATGATGTTTTCAGTTAGAAATTGTCTAAGCAACTCTATGACATAGACCAATAATGACAATAGCTAATAGTTTTATAGTACATTACAGTCTATGTAATAATTTCACTTGGGATTGAGTCTTTCAGGAATGCTGTGAACTGGTTATAATTACACCCACAGCCTTGATGAGGCCAAAATAGGGAAGGTATTATTCAAATACCAATTGTTTATTATCTGTATTAAGAGGCAAATTTAAATCCATGTATGTCACACAACAGCAAAAACTCATCAGTAGCTCAGAAATTTTAATCTCAACTTACAACATAGTACTTGGAATGTTTCAAAAATTTTTGAATGAAAAGATTCTGAATGACTATTCTGAATCATTACATTTCCAATCAAGAAAATGAGTGTAGTGATATTTACCTCAAAGTTATTGCTAAAACTACATTCACAAAATACTATTTAAATATCAAAGTACTTGACACAGGGAAGAGTCTCAAGAATTACGTTTCCGTGTATTCACCTGTTAAACTTTAAACGAAAAGGAAAGAGTCTGTGTTTTTAAAGATAACCAATGTGTACAGGTAAAGTCTCCGTTTCTATCCATCCTTAGCTACCATCACATTGAAATTTTTTAACATATTAGTTAGTGGTAAGTAAATATGGCATTTTGATGTTAATCAACTTTTGTGTCTGTTATATTTTTTTGCCTTACAGTTTTGAAGTATTCTCTACTTTTAAATAATTTTCCCAAAATCTATTAGACTTGTTTCTCACAATTGTAAAATATGTAATGTTCCATTTAATGGATAAAATACCATTATCTCACTCAAATACAATTAATGAGTCAGTGGGGTGTCAACATAAATTTCTTGACTTCTCTGGATTCTTATTTCCTTGTTTTTCTATTTATTAATTCTCCAACAGTCCCACCATATGTACCAATTTTGGATAGTATAAAATTTGATAGAACACACTTTTATTTTGTCCACTTTCACATAACTAGAGAAATGATTACCATACAATGAAGATGTAATGTGACTTACAACCACTATATTTAAAAAGAAGTTTTCAAAGATGAAAATTTTCTTGTTTGCTGATGTGTAAGGATTGCCAAGGAGGGGGAATACCTGTGCCTTCCGCCTTTGGTTACCTTCCTCCATCTGTAGCTAAGATTGCTACCAGACAGAGGTGTTCCTTTTCCATGAACTCAGATTCCTCCTCTAAGCCTCTCTAAAGATATACATCATCTTAGGCAGCTGCTACCAATCAATCAAGTCGTCCCGTGAAAATCGCTATACTCTATATACATGTATACACACTGATTTATGTCTTCAGGCACATAGGATAAATGTCTTCTAAATGCCAATACACAGAAAAAAATTTTATGAATTTATTTCTAAGAATAATCTAAAAATGTCTGAGAAAACAAAATAATACAGTTCAAATTTCTAAATTCTATGATTCATTTAAATTTATTGATTTAAATGATTATAACTGCCTTTTATGATCTGTGTGGATACCTAGCTATACATCAAACCAGTGGCCCACTTAATTTTACTGAAAGGTTTATCTCAGGAAAAATGGCCTCTAACATTTTACAATGGTAAAACCATTTTAAGGATTCCTTACCATTCTTCCTTTGTTCCACAGTACCCAGGACAATGCCTGTTACAGAGTTATTTTTCAACCAACATTTATTTAAGAAATGAGTATGTGGAAGGAAGGAATAAATAAGGAAGGAAGGAAAGGAGGGAGGGAAAAAAGAAGGTAGGAAGGAAGCAGAAAGAAGAGGAAAAGAATAGGAATGGGATGGAAAGGAGAGGTAATTTAATCATGATGACTCAGAAGTAGAAAACTTTTACATCATTCAAAAGAAATTCAAGAGGAATTAACACATGAATACTAATCTGTACAAAGAAGTTCACTTATTGAATATTACATTTTGTTTATCTTTTGGATATATATATGTCAATTATCAAAGGAAACATATTTTTGCTCTTTTAGGCATGTTACTATTTTCACCTACTACCCTTACTTAAAATGTTTTACATAATAATGTCAATATCCAAAATTAACTAATAATTTTAGTTAATTATTAGTGAGAGTGACTAAGTTCACAAGTAAAGCATATTTTTTAATATAATACTGAACTGAAATAATAAGGGTGATAAATTATTAATGTAATTACTAAAATAATTTAAAAGTCTGATATTTACCAAGATATCTTTGCCAGCCCACTTGCATTCGTCTCGTCTGGTGTAAGATACTGGCCACACAATCTACAGGCAGAGAAGAAACATTACTTTATGCCAATTAAGTTCTCTAAGAGAGCCAACATTATAATCTGTTAGAAAAGTTGGGGCAACTTAAAGGAAGTTACATAGAGCGCTGTGTGAACCATTCAGTTTAGATCTCACAGTGGTATCGGCATGAGCTTAAATCATTCACTCTCTGTCTATCCATTGGGCTTTGTTGTATATGAAAGATGAGCAACTCAGAATCCATGTGGTCAAATAGACCCCAGCAGCATGTTGTGGGAAGAACTAAGTAGATCATCTTAGGAGGATGTTGGAATCTAGTAATGAGAGGCAGAAATGGGCATAAAATGTAGCTTACATTCTTCTAAATCAATTGGTCTTTATCATGAAATAGTGATTTTGAAATTTTAACACTGGGTGCTCTGGATCCATTTCCCTGATAC